CATCAATGTTATTTATCTTTTCAAAGAATCAGCTTTTAGTTTATCTTCTCTATTGTTGCTCTTCAGTTGTACTAATGTCTCTTATCTTTATTATTTTCTTTCTTCTGCTCATATTCAGTTCATTTTGCAAGTTCCTTAAAGCAAAATCTTGCTGATTTGTAATAATTCTCATGCTTATTACCAGCATTTAATGATATCAAGTTTCTCTTGAAGGGCTCTTCAGTTGCATCTCACATCATGATATGTAGTGTTTTCAATTTTGTTCACCTCAAAATATGTTATAATCTCTCTTGATACTTCTACTGGGATACATGGGTAATTGGTAAACACACTGTTTAATTATGTGTTTGGAGATTTATCAACTATCTTTCTATTGAGTTTTAGTTTAATTCTGTTATACTCGGAAATTAGAATTTGGATGACATAAATTCTTTAGATTTTTTTCCTAAGATTTGTTCCATAGCCTTGATGTTGTTTATCTTGATGACTGATCCATGTGCACTTGAAAAATGATGTACTTTGGTTTGGTACTGGATGAGGTGTTCTATAAATGTCAATTAGTTACTGTTGGTTGATAGTGTTGTTCAGCTTTTCTGTATCCTTTCTGATATTCCTCTTATTTACTTTGTTTATTATGGGAAAAGTAGTGTTGAAATCACCAGTTATAATTGTAAATTAGCCTATTATTCTTTCTATTCTATTACTGTTTTGTTTCATATGTTATGAGATGCTGTTTTAGATGCAGGCATATTTAGGATTTTTTTTTCTTTCAGTTAAATTAACTCTTTTATCAGTATGTAATGTTCCTCTTTATCACTGGAAATTTTCCTGACTCTGATATCTACTCTGTCAAATATTAATATAGCTACTCCAGTTTTCTTTTGTGTTAATAGTATATATCTTTCTGTTCTTTTGCTTTAAAACACTTTGAATCTTTATATTTAAAGTAGGCTTCTTATAAGAAGTAGATTGCACCATCCTTTTAAATCTATCCCAATAGTCTATTTTTTTAAAAAATTGGGAGTTTAGTGCCTTTACAGTTCATGTACTTACTAAGATGGTATGTTTGGAAATACCACCTTGCTTGTTTTCTGCTTGTCTCCTGTGTTCTTTGTTCCCATTTTCTGCCCTTTATTTATTTTCTCTTATTAATTCAGCACTCTCTTACATCTCCACTTACCTCCTTTGTTGTATTACCTACTATAACTCCTTGTTTCTTATTTTAGCAGTCACTTCTTGTATTTTGTGGTTTCAGTATGAGTTCAGTTTTTGGCCTTTGTATTGCTCCTTGGATCATGTTTGATCCTATATCTGGGAACTTGAAAGTGCTGTAGCCCTTATTTCCATTCTTTCAGGCATTTTTAAAATTCTACTTAGAGTGTGATGCAAGCAGTAGTGAGCCCAGAAATATATATTCCGTTTTAGAGAATAACTCTCTTGAGCTTCCTTCTTTCCAGAATCCCCTTGACAGTTTCTGGATCCCTGGGGTCTGCCTTTTACCTCTTCTGGCCAAAACTTGAGACTTCAGTTTTTTTCACTCTGTTGCTTCATACCTCCTGCAACTGGTGATGGACAGACCAAGAAAGAAAAAGCCAAAAGCCAAAAAGGCACTC